AGGAGTGGGAGGAGACCCAAAATGATAGATATCCCCAGGGTTTTCCAGAGCTGATCACAGAGGAAGGTCCTGACTCTGTGCATCCCCCTCTGTTCTCACTTTGACCCCTAGAAGTAACCAAGTTATCTCCTTATAATAGGGCTCTTGTCTCCCTGGGGCCACTGAGGATAAAGTGAGAGGCATCTTAGCCTCACAGCCCTGCTAAGGATCCACCAGGGCTTATAGACGGGAAGTATTCTTTGGGGCCCCTTTTGTCTTGAGGGAGGAATTCCCCTCAGTCTTTTTTCAAGGTTATCAACGTCACTCAAAACCACCCCTAGGCCTCCATCTGCTAACCTGAGTCGAATAGCCTTAGACCAAGGCTCTTATGCACACCTCTTCCCGAAACTAACCGAAAGATGAAGCAAGGGGGCACCCGAGCCTTATGGCGGCCACACTAGGAGCCTCCAAGGGCACACAGCAGGGGTGGGGCTCTTTAGAGCTCTGGTTTCTCCTAGAACACAAATAGGGGCGTTCATCAACTCCAGGCAGAGCCTGAGACTCGGTCCTCTGATCGCTTGAGGCACACACTGGAGTCAAATATCCTCACCCCTTGGGGTCTCCTAAGGCTGACAGCAGGGGCACGGCTCAGAGGGGGCTCCTCTCTTATGGGGGAGGGGAAGTTCCACTGAGTTCACTCTACGTCCTCCGCTTACTCCTCTGATACTAACACCCTGGTTCGGTGCTATTATTTATCCGAGTTCTCCGAAGGAGAATTCACCCAGCAGTACATCGGGTAATCCCTGCCTGGAACCATCTAGGGCTAACTGCAGTGGCAGGACTGTGGCGTCTTATGTCTGTAGGGACGGAGTGGAAGCGGGGGTTCCTCAAACCTTACTCAATATTCTTATCTTACCGGAGACGAACATGAATTCCGCCCTCCACCGATCCGCCGCGACCCTCTCACAACAGGGGCGCACCGCCCACGGACCCCAGAAACGGAAGTCAGTGTGGGCACATCCGGCTTCTCCTGCCTGGGGCCTCACAAGGGGGGACTGCTGAAGTCGGGCGATAAAGAGTGTCTCTGTGGTGCCCTCCCCCTGTTAAAGTGTCAGTAGTACTCAAAGTCATATCTAAGTAGGTTCTCATTTTGGCTCCTGGTGCATTGACTAAAGGCTCCCTGGGAAATACCCCCCTCTCTACATACCACAT